ATATATAAGTATATGTAAAGTGAGAAGGACATTTTTTAGGGATAAATCATCTTTTATTCTTTATAGATAAAAAAAAATTATATTAATTTTTATATGAAAATTTATTAAATTTTTAATTTTATTTTTACTATTATAGTATGTTATAATGATGTTAACACTCTTTCTCTTATTTGGAAAATGATTATCTAACATAGCATGTTTAAATTATCTTTTATTTTCAATACAAAACTCTATAACGATAATTTTATATTACTTTTGAGTGATATTTTTTCATCATCTTTGTAATAATATTTTAAATTTTTTAAATAAGTATTATATCCTATTTCATATTTTTTCACATCCAACTTCATGTTTTGATTCATTTTTATATGAGCATTACTTTCAATATTTTCATTTTCTATATCACTACTTGGTTACTTGATCATATCTCATCATAATCTTCATTCTTATCTCAATGTTTTGAATGAGATAAATATTGATATTTGAGATAAAAATACTAAAAGTAATATTTATGTAAATTCTTAAGATCATTCTTATATTTAAAGTGAATATATGTTAACTTATATAATAAGATTTAATATCATAAATTGAAAATGTACGAAATAAAATATGAAATTTTTTAAAAAAATTTAAATACTCTTATGAAGATAGTGAAAAAATATTACTTAACATTGATATAAAAATATGAATGCAATAATATGGATGATTTTGAAATATTTTTCTATCGATATTAATATATAATTTTTTAATAAATTAAAAAAAATATTGTATAAGAATTAAAAGACAATTTTAATTTGTTAGGTTGAATAACTGTTTACAATGTAAGAAAAATAGTTAACATTGTTATAATTTATTACGAAGATGGCATAAAGAAAATTAAAAATAAATTTTTATATAAGTATCGATAAAATAATTTTACTTACAAAAATTAAATTAAAATAAATTGTGTAAAGACTAAAAGATTAATTTTTTTATTTTTTATAAAAATCAAACATTTTTTAATATTATAGGACAATAAAAAATTTAAAGAAAAAATTTTACTTACAAAAATTAAATTAAAATAAATTGTATAAAGACTAAAAGATTAATTTTTTTTATTTTTTATAAAAATCAATCATTTTTTAATATCATAGGACAATAAAAAATTTAAAGAAAAAAGTGTTAAAACAACAATTATTTAAATATAAAACGACTGTTAACAAACTCCCATTTTTTCTCGTGTTCTATATCTTCATTTAAATTTTGCCAACTCTAAAATAAACTATTTCATTCTTTATAAAAAATGTTAAAAGTCTATAAATATAGTTTCATTAAAGTCAACTATTTGCAGACATATATAAAATACCACTCAAGAAACAATTTGTTGTGTTACATCAGAATATATGAGTAAACATCAGTTGAGGGAATATTTCGTTTTTAAATATCGCTTGTTGTGCAAGAGATGAGTACATTGTTACTTATTAAAAAAAAAAAAACTAATCTGTCTAATTCTGTATGGTTGATTTGGACAAGTTTTTTAAAATTATTTTTTAAAATTAATAATTTTTTACTAGATAAATTTATTCTAAAACTCATTATTTGATTGAAATTTTTATCATATAAATTATTGTTTATTCATAATTTCAAATAATTTAATTTATTCATTCACATACATAAAAATTAATGTACCACATACTTTTAAAGAATATAAAAATAAAAATAGTTCGATAATATTTTTGCTGCTTAATTATTTGAAGATTTTTCACTAAATAATAAAAATTAAATGGATAAAAATAGCATTTCATTTAAAATTATGGCTTGGATCCTATAAATTAATACAATATACAAATTTTAGTTTTAGTTTTTAATTTTTTTATTAACTTATCCTTCGTAAATTTAAAAATAATTTCTATTATGATATGAAGTTTTAAAAATGACTATTTTGGAATTACATGTAACATTACATATCTAAATCCATTACTATAATCATCAACATTTAGTAATATTTTTTTAAAAATTGGTGAAAGTTGAAACCTACAGAAAAAGATTAAAATTAAATTCTGTCATATTTACAAAGATTACAAATATATTTTATACTTAAATTATTGAAGATATTAGAAAATTAATATAAAGGTACTTATTCTTAAACTGTTGTAAATTAATATCAATTTTTTTTAGTTCAAATTTACATCACTTGTGTCACCCTGCGATGATATCTATGAACAAAAAAATAAAAGTTATAATTGAAAAGAAAATACATTTAAACAAAATTAAAAAGTATAATATTTTACTCAAAAGTGATATTGAAATTTCATAGAATATTATAAACCGCAAAGGATCCTATTAAGTTACCAACTTCTATTTGTATTATAATATTCATAACAGGAAGTGTATATACATAATGCATTAATAAAAACTCTTAATTTGTCTATAAACTTAAGTGAAATTGATCAGTTTCGTGAAAATATAGATCAGTTGGCTAAAGAGATGAGCGAGGAAAAATAAATATAGATAGTACTAAATTTTCTTTCATTTGAAATATTAGTTAATAAAATAAAAAATTATTTTTAAAATAGAAACTAAACATGTTCTAAAAAATAGAATATCTAAATTATTTTTTACCTTTAAAATTATTATTTTGTTCTATTTAATCTCTGTCCATAAGAAGTTAGTTATTTTGATAATCAGTAAACTAAGAGAAAGATAATTAAATACATTTTCTGCGAAGAAATTTGTTAATTGACGCGAGTGGGGATACATATGATATATGCAATTTCTTTAATCACAAATCATCGTAATCCTCCATAGATATAGTTAATCGTCAGGGCTGCGCAAATCTCACTCTCATCTCCTCTAATGTCAACTTAAATTCTTAAAAAAAATAAAAATAAAAGAGATTCATAAAATTGATATGACAGTCTAAGCAGGCGTGTTGTTGATAAATAAAAGAGTAAGGTACAATTTGACATTCAAAAAATAAGTGATATAATATTTTTTAAATAAAGTACAAAATAAGTTTTAGAAGTAATTTTTATTTTTAATTTTAAAAATTAAAAATATTTTTAAATAAAAAAATATTAAAAAAAGAAAAACAAACTGCTCTAAGTTACATTTTTTTTCTTTTAATATTTTCCATCTGGCTTCATTAAAAATATAAAAAAAACAGAGTTAATAGAGAGAGAGAGAGGGGTGATGTGAGGTTGAAAGCAACAAATACGAGGAGCCTGATAGACTGTCACGGATGCAGCCCCTCGTGCGCGCTCTGCAGAAGTAGTTATCAAAAATACAGACAACACCCTCTTTTGTTTCCCTTCCATGCCTCAGACACCCCTCTTAAAATCTTTCCAATTAATTTCAACCTATTTTTTATTTTTTTATAATCCTGCTCGCCCTATATTTCTTTTCTGCTTTTCCTTTTTCGACTTTTAGGTAATTCACGTTAACTTGTCAAAATTCACCCTTTATTATTATATAATAACTTTTATACATAACACTTTCTACTATAAACATGGCAGATATTTCCCGCAGCACCTTGTTTTATAGTGTACTCTCGTACAGTGACTATTTATAATTCTCAGTAATTATTTTCCATGATTTAACTTGAGTAACGTTACTTGTATAATTCTGATTTTTTACAGAAACATACAAGCTTGTACTAGTGGTGTTCAAATTGGTATAGTTAATGTTCTATTTTACAACAAAGTAATAAAAAAAAATATTTTTTTTAACATTCAATATGCCAATTATTACAAATTTTACCGGACAAAAGATGTACACAAACTCATGCCTTGATTTCTGTCAAATCTTTGGGTTCTTTGTTTTTAAATTTTGCATCTGTCCAATAGAAATTCGTACAAAAGAAAATTCATACTATTAAGGGGAGCTCTTTTTTCTTTGGTTCCATCTCAAATTCAATACACGTCCAAAGCTTTAGCGGAACTGAAAGTAATGTAACTTTATCGATTGCAAATAATGTTAGTAAGCGTTTACTACTACAAACCCAAACATAGAACAGTATGCACGTACATGAGTGCGGTACCTTGGTTATTAGAGACAAGATGTGTACACTTAGGACAGTGTTCAGTACAATTGCCTCGAAAGACAATGTAAGTTAAAAAGTAGTGTTGTAAGTTTTGCAAATTAAGCTAATTATTGATTTCTAATTTCTCAATAAGAACAAAAGATATTTTAGCTAGCATTTAGCAAAACTGAAGAAAAATCATCATTCAAAACGAAAAGAGTGCGTTAATTTCTGTCTAGTACTTACGTGGAGTGAGGGTAAGGTAGCACAAGAAACACCATGGGTCCTTGTCTCTGGCAGTGGCAAACGATAAAGGCGAAAGTTATTAACAGGAGGCAGCTCCTCAGGAGTCACCACAGTACCATGCAAACATGCCTTTCTCTTCTGTGCTGTGGCAATATGTTTACGGGATTGACCCATTTGGTCAGATTTACCAAGCTTTGTGTCACCTCTTTATTTGGACTGTAAAGGACCACATGTACCCTCTTCACTCCAGGACATTTCAAGCAAAATCAAGTACTCCCCTTTTACCAACACAATTTTCTAACCCATAACATTCTTTTTAACATAATAAATTGCACTTACCTATCATTAACGAGATTTTGCTTTGATTATATCATTTTTTAACAGCCCTATCACACTTCCTTAATTGAGACATCGATAGTCACGTAAATATTTTAAAAACACGTATTTTGAAGTTGGCTATAACTTTTTTCGTTTTGCAAAAGTCTCTTCTTATCTATTTATATTGCGATTTTTTGTATCGACGAATATAGCGTTGCTATTAGTAAAACATAAGATAAGAAAAAGAGACTCCTTCTTGCCACAATAGAATGTGGAAAAAGACAGAATAATCTCCTTTTAAGTTATCCGGGGGGGGGGGGGGGAATAGAGGAGGAAAAAATAATTATAATTCACTTTGTTTGTCCTCGGTAAAATTACAAAATAAACCCCATTAGGCATCATCAGCACGTTGATAACATGATGTTCATCAACATGATCAAGAGGAGCAAGTCACAGAAACATCGCCGGTCAACGGCTGTTTCTGACCGTCCATCATCCCATCATCCCTACTCGAAGCGCAATCGACCAGCGTCAGCACCTGGGCCCGCTGGGCTTCAAACTCCCAATCAGTAGTCCCGATAACATACAACATCAGCCCCGCGCAACAAACCTGGGCCGAAAGCAGGCCCAGCCAGAGCCCACAGAACCCAACTTCGAACCAAAACCCAAGCCCAACCGCAACGGGCATCCCCACCAGATAGAAGGCGCCCAGGTTGACATTTGCCGCCATGTTCGGCCTCGCCGTGCCCCTAACGACGCCGCAACCCACCGTCTGCGGGCAGTTTCCGATCTCGCAAATCCCGAGGATCGGCAACGCCACGGACGTCAGCCGCAGAATATCCTCGTCGGCGGTGAACATCCGGCCCCATTGTCGTCTCATCCCGACGGCGAAAATCATGGCAGAGAAGCCCATGATCGCGGCGAAAAACACGGACACCACAGCAGATAACTTAGCCCGAGAAGGCTGATTCGCGCCGAGCTCGTTCCCGACTCGAGTGGAAACCGCGAAACTGAGCGATGAAGGGAACACGTAAAGGAGCGAAGTTGTTTGGATGAGGATCCCCATGGAAGCGACGGCTGCGGTGGGGTCCACGAGGAGCCCACAAAACACGATCATGATCTCATACCACCACCATTCCAAGCAAACAGACACGCAGCTCGGCGCGGCGAGCCGAAGCAGTGGCTTCCACCCGGAGAGACACTCTCGGCTGGGCGCGGTCCATTGCGAGGTGGTCAAACAGACAAGGAAAAATAGGATAGAGAGGTTGGAAGCGGCGGAGGCGGCGGCGACTCCGGCGAGGCCAAGATGGAGGTGTTTAACGAGGAGGTAGTTGAAGGGTAAATGAAGAAGGGTGGCAGCGAGGGATGCTAAGGTTACAGGGTGGGTGATTCCCTGTGTGCGAAGGTAAATGCGGAGCGGGTGGAGAAATGAGTTTGTGAGAAGGTCGGGAAGGGAGAAGATGAGGTATGTGTGGGCCATGCGGGTGATGTGAGGGTCTTGGTGCAAGGAGAGGAGGATGTTTGATATGTTGAGCCAGAGGAGTGATATTGGTATGGAGCAGAGTAACAGGAATATTATGCAACGGTGGAGTGTCAATGACATGAGGTTTTTACGCTTTGCCCCGAATGCTTGAGAACAGAGCGGTTCCATTCCCAGTGCTAGACCCGATAGCACTGAGTACCCTGTTATGTTTGCAAATGCCATCCCCAGAGACCCTGCTGCCAGTTCCATGTCTCCCAGGTTCCCCAGGAATAGCATCGACACCATCGAACGTGAGTAGAATATCAGTCCCGTTAGAGCTGTGGGCAACCCCACCTCCATCAGCGACTTCACCTCTCTCCTCAGCCTCGCTCTCCAGCATTCCCGTCCCTTTTCTCCCTCCATCTCTCTGTAGTCTCCTTCCTCCATCCCTCTCTCCAACTTGCACTCTCCACCCTGTTCTGTTCTCACTTCTCACTGGTATGCCTTTTTTCTCTCTTTTTTACCTACCCACTCAGTCAGTGAGTGAGTGAGTGTGTGTGAATGAATGAATGAATGGATGGATGGATGGATATTTATATAGAGACAGATACCCGAAACTAATTACCGCGTCCGAGTGAGAATGCCAGAAGGAGACCTATGTATAAATAGAGGCTTTCAAGTGAAGTCAAGTCTGTTACCTCCTCCTCAAATATTTTACCTCTCTCTCTTTATTACAACCAATAAATAAAATAAAATATATGTTAAATTACTTTACCCGCTTATGGATTTCTCATTCACCTCCCTTCCCTCCTTATTCTTTTTCTAACATAAAAACTTATAAACTTTTAAACCCCAAATATATTAAGTATTATATATAAAAATAGGTGGGAATGTCAGTATATTCTGTAGGGAACAATTTCCAAGAGCGGAATTGTTCTTTGCCTCGCTCATCCTCCTCATTCCTTCGCCTTCTTAGGTAATTGTGATTTCAAATAACAAAAACTTCTAGGTGATTACTTTTAGGTTATGAGGGGCAATGCAATTACTTCAATCAAAGAATTCTTCAAAAAGCATTAAAGCACTGCATTACTGACAAAGGTGCCATTCATCATGAAAGCATAATGCATGTACGGCTTCTATATTGCTCTAGCAAAAGCATTTGACTTTGCTCCACTAATTATATTGTTAATCTATCCATTGAACCTTAGAATGCTCTTGACTTTCAACATTTCAATCGCTTACAGTTAATCCATTAAACCAACAACCTTGCCATCCTGCAATAAAGTTTTATATACTTAAAGGAATGCCTGTACGAAATGTCGCTCTTTTTATTTTTGAAAATCATTTGTTTTATTTATTGATACATGAGTGTTTGGATTAATTTATTTTTATAAATATATTATCTACTAAAATTTAATCATTTCCAAACAGGCTATAAATCTATGTCTGTTCAATCTTAATTTTAGGAAGTAATCACTTTAAAAAAATTACAGTATATATATTTGAAAAAAAAAAAGCTAAATTAAATACGCACTGAATCAATAAATATGCATTTTTATAGAAGAAGAAGAAAACACTTGACAGAACATTAATTAGTATTTGACCGGTAAGTACTTTCTCGATTGCAGCAATTTTACCACAAAATTTGTCACCATTTTTAATTTTATTGCTTTCATGTTGAGTGATCTTAATTATTTAAAAAACAATTTTGCTTTTATAATAAGGCATTTGATGTTTACTTTTTTGAATAGTGGTAGTGGTACTTAAATAAAATATCTATCTCGCTCACAATTAGTCCACTCTTAATGATATATAAAATACATTTTAAAAGTAATTATGAGGAAGCAGCGCCCTTGTTTTTTTAATTATCATATTAGATTTTTATTTTTTGAGGTCAAAATTTCATGCTAGAATTTTGCAGTTCAAAGAAGCAAAGCAATGCAAGCAAGGATGAGAATTCTTTTTCCTCATTTTGTTGTTCCATTATGTAAACTTTTCGTTAGTTCAAGCATGTACTGAAATAGATAAGGAGAAAACATTAGGCACTATTTAGTGTGTTAATAATAAGATATTAATTGACTTGATAAACTACATTTGTTTGATTTGATAAGGTAAAGCGTCACACGTGGAATTCGAGACCGTATACTTTAATAATATATCAAGCTGAAGTACTTGTTGGGTCCGGCCCGGGCCAATTAGCGCTCAATTGGGCTTTGAATAGAGCCAGCAAAAAGAATGCTTTCTGTTGAAAGTTAAAACTTAAAAATGCTAAGTTCCTAGTTTAGTTTGACCAAACCAAAATAAAAAAGGTTAGTCCCTAGTTCAGAGAAATTATTATTTTGTAGCCTATACTATAAGGATCGATGTATACACGTCAGAGCACTTTTTTACGTGATACTCAATAGAGTACTACTGTGATTTGTGTAAATAAAGATTGCTTAACTACATACAAATTACTCCACTCTTGTGATTCAGTCCTCCTTTACAATGGTTCCTCAATGAAAAAAGGAACTTATATGCTGTCAATAAATTATGCTATAGCAAGGGTACAATTTGCCAAGTGAAGGCAAACATGGAAGAAGGAAAGCTTAGTGCTAAAGTATAGCAAATAGCAAAGATTTACATAATTCTTACAATATGTACACTTTCTTCTCTTGTGTAAGAAAAGATCGTAGGCATTGTACAGATAGAATTTCTGTATTGCTAATGTGGGCATTGAGTCGATGTTGCGTTTGGTTTGGATTGGACATTCCAAAGTTTGAAGTTCAAACGGTGGTTTCCGAGTTGGCTCACATGGGTGCGTGCGCAATTGTCGAAGGCTACACAACAGTCCGCTCCCATTTTCACAAACAGATGGTTGTAGGGAAACATCCTCTTAATAATTGGCTATATAGTACTATTTAGCATTTACTTATTTTATTTCTCTTTCTATCTGTCTCTGTCTTGTTGAGTTGTTAGTATTAATTGTTGTTGTCGCATCCTTGGCTTCCCAAATGTCATTGTTTCTCCTTTGTCTCGAACTCATTGTCATTAGAGTGTGAAAAGAGAAGAAATAAAAAGGGAGTGAAGAAAGAAAATGGTAAAATTTTGTTTTTGTAAAGAATGTGACACAAGAATATGCAATTTGACAACTCTATAGTCTCATACTTGGGAGGCAGTGGCACCACTTCTTCTTTTTGTTTTATACCATTGGAGGAAGCGTACATAATGCAGCATTGTTATGTTGCGCTTCATTACTTCATTGTCTCACTGCCCGAAAACCTTGCCTTCCCCACCTTTAGGACCCTATGGCCATGCCACGTAAACTATTTAACATTTTGTGCTTCCCAATTCAGACATCTTTGCATGTCAGCTTTCCTTTTTAAAATCTTTTTCGTTTTTATTTGCATGACATGATGCCAAGCTTGTTTTGGTTTAACATTTACTCCAACCACTTCCTAAATATTTTTTGTAATCTACACTTTTCACTTCTGTTTAAATGATTTTTCATATAACATAATAAAATGCTTATCACATTAATAATAATAATAATATCTTAATAAAACAAAGACTTAAATAAGAAATAACAATAACATTTTAGAGTGGAAACAGACACTCCCAAAAATTTCTTAAAAAAATGCTATTTTAATTAAATTTAAAACCCAATGTTATCTTATCTACCTGGTGCACATATATACAAGTTAACTTTTGTGAATACTTATTCCATTTTAAACCCATGAAATAATATTCAAGCACACTTCCACCTAAATTTTTAAAAACAATTAATATTATCAATGAAAAGTAATTCATGGTCTCCAAAATGATATTCAATTCTCAATTATTTATACAACAGTTTTTCTATGTATCTTACCCTTCTTTTTCTTTCTCTTTTATTCACATTACATTGCTCACTTCATTTATTAATTGTTTTTAAAATTTTAATATTACTCATTTCTTATCGTTTGAAGTTAGCATATTGATAAAAAAAAAATTATAACTTTCTACTGATACAAATTGATAAGATCACAAAAATAAAAACTTTCATCTTCATCTCTCTCCTAAACTCAGCCTTTACTTTTTTAGAATAATGATTATCTCACACTTCTCTGCAGGGTCGTACAAATAATAAAAAATTACGTAGACGAATGTTCCCACATAGATTCGTTTTCTATTAAATTATCATTTATACTAATAAATTATCTAATTAAATATGCCTAGTAAATAATATAAATGTAAGGTTGCACAAGTAATGCAGAAAAAATAGACTACTATTTCCACATAGATTTATTTGATATTACATTTTCAATTGCTAATCAATTATCTAATCAAGTTTATTCTGACAATAATAAGATGGCAAAAATTTGAAAAGAGTGTGCAAAATAAAGAATGCTATGGGTTGCATCTACTACACCAAGAGAAAATGAAGATTCATTTGAAGTTGGGAATTATGTTCACACCCCACTGAAGTTGATTTGTGTGTAAATTTCTTTAACGTAATTATTTATAAATTGAGCTATTTAGGAAGAATTCAGATTTTGTTAAAAATATATGTTTAAATAATTTAGGAAGAAGATTTATAGTAATAGTTATGAATAGAAGTCAATATGGAAAGGAAGTTAGTGATATTTGTTTGCTATCTATTACATAATGCAGTTTCAATAAAAAAGAATTTAAGCATATGTGAATTAATAATTTTTTTAGAAGTTCAAAAGTTTTGTAATATTAATATAAAGATATATTATATCTTTTTTTTATTGCGATATTTTCATGAAACTGTAGTAAATAGTATAATTTAGTGTCAGTTTAGACATTACTAAGCATATGTGGATAAAAGAAATAGGGAATAACTATAATGGTATAGTTTGTTGTAGTATAGACAATTTAGTTTCAGCAAAATAATATTCTTTTTAATAACAATGTGTTAAATATTAATGAAATATTTAATTTTATTAAGTATTATTCTTTAAAATAACTTACATTAAAGTCTTTAAAAAGATCGATTATACATGTAAATTAGATTAATGATCATTTAACATATATTATTAATTCATTTTAGAGTTATAACGAATTAAAGTATCTCTTATACTCTAAATTTATCATTAATAAAATTTTAATAAAATATTAATATTTAACAAAAAAATATTTAAATAATTTAATCCTATTTCAAGACTGGTCCAATACTAATGCTAATAAAATTCTTATTTTTTTAATTAAAAAGATTGCTTATATATGTGCTTGCGTGTAAATAAAAAGATTAAATTATGTTAATATAAGCTATATTTTTGTTTATATTGTCAATAATTTAATATAAAATAATTTTTATTAATCATATTATTAAATTATATATATTTTTTATTAATGTCAAATTTTATTAAAGTTAAAATATAATAAAAAATTATTATTATTATATTATATTAATTTTAATTCATACAAATAAAGTATCAAATAATTTTAAATTAATATAAAAT